TCAAGATCACGTGAAGTGTTAATACCACTTTACAATGCCTTGGTAAGGCCACACTTGGAATACTGCATCCAGTTTTGGTCACCACGATGTAAAAAAGATGTTGAGACTCTAGAAAGAGTACAGAGAAGAGCAACAAAGATGATTAGGGGACTGGAGGCTAAAACATATAAGGAACGGTTGCTGGAATTGGGTATGTCTACTTTAACGAAGAGAAGCACGAGGGGGGACATGATAGCAGTGTTCCAATATCTCAGGGGCTGCCACAGAGAAGAGGGAGTCAAGCTATTCTCCAAGGCGCCTGAAGGCAGGACAAGAAGCAACGGATGGAAACTAAGCAAGGAGAGAAGCAATCTAGAACTAAGGAGAAACTTCCTGACAGTTAGAACAATTAACCAGTGGAACAAGCTGTCTCCAGAAGCAGTGAATGCTCCAACACTGGAAGTTTTTAAGAAGAGACTGGACAGCCATTTGTCCGAAATGGTATAGGGTTTCCTGCCTGAGCAGGGGGTTGGACTAGAAGACCTCAATGGTCCCTTCCAACTTTATTATTATTATTATTAAGTCCAAGGAGAGAAAGAATTATCTTAATGATAGCACTTAGCAATAGCACTTAGACTTACATACCGATTCACAGTGCTTTGCAGCCCTCTCTAAGCGGTTTACAGAGTCAGCCTATTGCCCCCAACAACCTGGGTCCTCATTTTACCCACCTCGGAAGGACAGAAGGCTGAGTCAACCTTGAGCTGGTGAGAATCAAACTCCCAAACTGCTGGCAGCCGACAATCAGCAGAAGTAGCCTGCAGTACTGCATTCTAAGCACTGCACCAACCACCTTTCTAAAATAATATAGAAGATGCGCTATCAAAGGGGAAAGTTGGCATATACAGTAGACAGACGGCCTAGAGCTGACTGTTGGAACATTAATTTCTAAGAATGAAATGCATTTTCAGAATATATACATGCATGCGTTAAATGATATATTTCAAGTTTCCTTCTGGGATTTCAAATGTTCTTGCTCCGTGCAGACATGGGAGGTTGGTAGTAGCTTGAAAATAGTTCTTTGTACTTTTGAGTTGGATCCATTTACAACATCTACTGTGTCCTCTGGGCAGATGCAAACAAACCCCTTACAATCTGTGTGAGCTTCATAAGCTATGCAGCTGGTATAATAATAATAATAATAATAATAATAATAATAATAATAATAATAATAATAATAATAATAATAATAATAATAATAATAATAATAATAATAATAATAATAATAATAATAATAATAGAGTTGGAAGGGACCTTGGAGGTCATCGAGTCCAACCCCCTGCCCAGGCAGGAACCCTACACCATTTCAGACAAACGGCTGAACGTAATGGTGGAGCACATGCTTTGCATACAGAAGCTCTCATCGCTCATATAGGAAAACACTAGTGCCCAGGAAACTGAACTGAATCTGTAGTCAAACCAGCTGTCTCCTATTCTCAGTATCCTGTGAAACTATACTGATAATTATCTCAGGTCAAAATTACTTCTACTGAATAGAAGATTTATGTTTCTTGGATTACTTAAAACTGAACAATGATGTACTTTTCCAAAATTCAGCACCTGCAGAGGTCTTTTCTAGCTTACAGTCTAGTTCAGAGTAGCTGACTCAGGAATTCTGAGAGTTGAAGTCCATGAGTCATAAAAGAGCCCAGGTTGCCTACCCCTGGTCTAGTTGCATCACAACAACCAACACATGCTGTTCTTCCAGTAGAAAGTCATTAAGCTCCTCCTGGAGGTACAGAAAAAAAAAACATTGCTTGTCACCAGTCAGGAACTGCCATAGGATTGGTTGGAAATTTTGGAGAGATATTTCACCCTGTCTTTGACACCATTGAAAGCCTGGTACCAATGGAGCTTGAGAGAACTAGAACAAGGTGAGGGGTGGGGGAGAATTAAGTGATTGGTCTGTGTGGCTTGGTTTTGTTTAATTTTTCTGCCTTTGAGCTGGTCTTAATTCATGGTGACTAACATGGAGAAGTCCACGAAATTTTCTTGGCAACGTTTTCAGAAATGGTTTGCCGTTACCTTCTTCCTACTCAATAGTGTGTAATTTGGGGGAAGTATAGAAAAAAGTATCAAAAATAACAAGGGCTGAGGAAGAGAATTAACTCCCTTTGAGAGAGGCAGTGGCTACAAGCATACTCCACTCCTTACTGAAGCTCTAGATTTCCAGCTTCCAGATGTAAGCCAGTCATGCCTACACAACAGCAGAAGACAGATTTGTATTTTGGAGTTCCTAACCCTAATCACTCTTTTTTTCCCCTCTCTCCCACAGTACGGTGCTGACGTTAAGGCCCACGATGCTGTGGGGCACACCGCGCTGTTCTACGCTCGCCGAGCAGGAAGCCAAGAATGCATTGACATCTTAATGCAACATGGTTGCCCAAACGAAGGCTACAGCAGTATTGCCACGCCAGGCCTGCGNATGTTGAGACTCTAGAAAGAGTACAGAGAAGAGCAACAAAGATGATTAGGGGACTGGAGGCTAAAACATATAAGGAACGGTTGCTGGAATTGGGTATGTCTAGTTTAATGAAGAGAAGGACGAGGGGGGACATGATAGCAGTATTCCAATATCTCAGGGGCTGCCACAAAGAAGAGGGAGTCAAGCTATTCTCCAAAGCTCCTGAAGGCAGGACAAGAAGCAACGGATGGAAACTAATCAAGAAGAGAAGCAACCTAGAACTAAGGAGAAACTTCCTGACAGTTAGAACAATTAACCAGTGGAACAACCTGCCTCCAGAAGATTTGAATGCTCCAACACTGGAAGTTTTTAAGAAGAGATTGGACAACCATTGTCCGAAATGGTATAGGGTTTCCTGCCTGAGCAGGGGGTTGGACTCGATGACCTCCAAGGTCCCTTCCAACTTTATTATTATTATTATTATTATTATTATTATTATTATTATTATTATTATTATTATTATTATTATTATTATTATTATTATTATTATTAAGTCCAAGGAGAGAAAGAATTATCTTAATGATAGCACTTAGCAATTGCACTTAGACTTACATACCGATTCACAGTATTTTGCAGCCCTCTCTAAGCGGTTTACAGAGACAGCCTATTGCCCCCAACAACCTGGGTCCTCATTTTACCAACCTCGGAAGGACAGAAGGCTGAGTCAACCTTGAGCTAGTGAGAATCAAACTCCCAAACTGCTGGCAGCCGACAATCAGCAGAAGTAGCCTGCAGTACTGCATTCTAAGCACTGCACCAACCACCTTTCTAAAATAATATAGAAGATGCACTATCAAAGGGGAAAGTTGGCATATACAGTAGACAGATGGCCTAGAGCTGACTGTTGCAACATTAATTTCTAAGAATGAAATGCATTTTCAGAATATATACATGCATGCGTTAAATGATATATTTCAAGTTTCCTTCTGGGATTTCAAACGTTCTTGCTCCGTGCAGACATGGGAGGTTGGTAGTAGCTTGAAAATAGTTCTTTGTACTTTTGAGTTGGATCCATTTACAACATCTACGGTGTCCTCTGGGCAGATGCAAACAAACCCCTTACAATCTGTGTGAGCTTCATAAGCTATGCAGCTGGTTTAATAATAATAATAATAATAATAATAAAGTTGGAAGGGACCTTGGAGGTCATTGAGTCCAACCCCCTGCCCAGGCAGGAACCCTACACCATTTCAGACAAACGGCTGAACGTAATGGTGGAGCACATGCTTTGCATGCAGAAGCTCTCATCGCTCATATAGGAAAACACTAGTGCCCAGGAAACTGAACTGAATCTGTAGTCAAAGCAGCTGTCTCCTATTCTCAGTATCCTGTGAAACTATACTGATAATTACCTCAGGTCAAAATTACTTCTACTGAATAGAAGATTTGTGTTTCTTGGATTACTTAAAACTGAACAATGATGTACTTTTCCAAAATTCAGCACCTGCAGAGGTCTTTTCTAGCTTACAGTCTAGTTCAGCATAGCTGACTCAGGAATTCTGAGAGTTGAAGTCCATGAGTCATAAAAGAGCCCAGGTTGCCTACCCCTGGTCTAGTTGCATCACAACAACCAACACATGCTGTTCTTCCAGTAGAAAGTCATTAAGCTCCTCCTGGAGGTACAGAAAAAAAAACATTGCTTGTCACCAGTCAGGAACTGCCATAGGATTGGTTGGAAATTTTGGAGAGATATTTCACCCTGTCTTTGACACCATTGAAAGCCTGGTACCAATGGAGCTTGAGAGAACTGGAACAAGGTGAGGGGGGGGGAGAATTAAGTGATTGGTCTGTGTGGCTTGGTTTTGTTTAATTTTTCTGCCTTTGAGCTGGTCTTAATTCATGGTGACTAACATGGAGAAGTCCACGAAATTTTCTTGGCAACGTTTTCAGAAATGGTTTGCCGTTGCCTTCTTCCTACTCAATAGTGTGTAATTTGGGGGAAGTATAGAAAAAAGTATCAAAAATAACAAGGGCTGAGGAAGAGAATTAACTCCCTTTGAGAGAGGCAGTGGCTACAAGCATACTCCACTCCTTACTGAAGCTCTAGATTTCCAGCTTCCAGATGTAAGCCAGTCATGCCTACACAACAGCAGAAGACAGATTTGTGTTTTGGAGTTCCTAACCCTAATCACTCTTTTTTTCCCCTCTCTCCCACAGTACGGTGCTGACGTTAAGGCCCACGATGCTGTGGGGCACACCGCGCTGTTCTACGCTCGCCGAGCAGGAAGCCAAGAATGCATTGACATCTTAATGCAACATGGTTGCCCAAACGAAGGCTACAGCAGTATTGCCACGCCAGGCCTGCGCCGGAAAAGCAGCAGTGCCAGCATGGGAAGGACCGAGGCCCGAACTGCCCTGGTGTAGTATGCCAGGGGGAGCCTCTTCCCCATCCCAATGGTGCCAACATGGGTGCAGTGACTGATGCCTCCTCTCCTTAAGGAGATCCGACTCCCCTCTGGCATCTGGACTGTAATGCCAAAGGAGCACGGATCATGACTTCTGTCATGCACAGGAGATGGTGGTTCCCATCCAGAGCCCAGCTTCAGTGGTTCTGCTTGGCATAAGCTGCCATCACCAAGACCACCTCATTGTCTCACAGGTCTCTCTACTGCCAGGCCTTGAGCTGCTCTGCTGATGTCCTGAGCAACAGCTGTCTCTTCAGACAGGTCATCAGGGAAGCCTACAGAGAACCGAGAGCAATGCGTCCCAGTATTTGGAGAGAAGAATTAGGACCTGGGCTGATGTTGTTGTCTTCCCAATTAAGACTTTGGGAAATGAGAGGGACAAGTGTTTACGTGGGGTCGGCTCCCTTTTTCTTTCTGGGTTTGTAAGAAGTATTGAAGGCGGAATGTAAATCAGCATTACTGGAGCGGTTGGTGACTGAACTGCACTACTTCCATGGAGCCCCAAAACATGACAATACGGGGGTGGAGCGTTGAAGGGTCCAAGAGAGTTTGTCACAACAATAGCACTGAGGGAAGGGAATCTTTGTGTCACTTAGTTGGCTTAAGTGAAACCCCCCCCCTCCTTATGTCAGGGTACCGGGCTTAGTGAATGCATTTGAGCTGTGTCACACTAAAGGAGCTGTAGGACAGCCTCCTTCCTTTCTAGGCAGGAGTGTGTACAAAAACAGGAGTGAAGATGCTTGCTCAAATCCAGTGTGGATGGGCATGTGGAAAACATATATTTCATGGAGAATCCTGTTTCCGTTATTCGGTTTCAACCAATTGGGTTTTCTTTTCTAGAACGCAGACCTTTCCCACCTCTCAAAGAATTGAGCAAGAGTGTGAGAGAAAAGTTAGGAGTGGCTTAATATAAAAAACAAACAAACACAACCACAACAGCATCCTAACTTACCCGGGCAGTAAAACCACCTGCTGACTCTTTGGGGGCATTTTTCTTTATCCAAGAGAGAGAACGTATCTTTATTTAGCAGACACAGCTCCTAATGCCTGTTTTGTGAAGCATTTTAATTTGAAATGTCGTGAGGCAATTGTGATGGCCGCCCATACCCGACCTGTCCAGGTCGGAGGAGTGGGACCGAATGAATTAGGCCAAGACACCAATTAGCAGCAGTCTCCACCTATTGCCTTGCCAGACCCCTTTAGTCTTAGACTCAGGATCACCCTGCTATCACTCGTAAACACCAAGCACACTCCTTCTTCAAGCCGCACTGAAACACATTCTTTCTGCTAATTTTCCTCAGGTCTGGTGCCTGATTGTTGCACTGAAATAGCTGTTATGTCTTACGCTCCTTGGAAGGCCCCAGGGTGCCTCCTTCTCCTGAAAATCTTTTTCACTCTTACAGAACGTTGAGGGGAGGTTGCAAATGGTTGAGGCAGCTGGTTGTGGGCCAAGAGGGGGGGAGGCTCAACCATGGTGAGGGCAACGCTGGGCATCTCTGAGGAATTCAACAAGGCCACTTTTTATGGATGCTGAACCTCCTCCTGAAGCTATACGTACTGAGCAGCCAGAGGGGGAGTTCTTCCAAAGCATCACAGAGCCTGGCTGTTAAAAGCAGAGTCCTTTTTTTAAAAAGAAAGAAAGAAAGAAATGAAGGAACATTTGTAAAAAGCTCCTTTCTTCACTCGTCCCAGTATTATCTCCCCTTTCTGACTTTTGTCCTAGTTTATTGCTTCATTTCGAGAAGGATAAAATCCTTCCCACTCTTTCTTCTGTTTCTAGTTTGGCAGCTCTCCTGGTGCAAGTGTTTACAGGCCTCATCTCCACTTTTGTGGCAGGGGCATCTGTGTGGTTGTGATGAGTGATGTGGTCTCAGGCTTTATTTCCAATCTGTGATCAGGGTAATGCAATTAATCCTCCCTCCCCAGTGTGGACAGACCTGGGCTGGAGCAGCCGCTACAATAGCTGGCTCCATCCCACTGACCTCTGGTCAAATCCAGCCTGATCTCATTCCTCTGGCCACTGGTTTGTACCATTAGAACTGGACACGCGGGCAAGGGCACAAGCCCAGCCAGGCCACATCACCTCTTTAAGACACCTCGGGCTTTCGTGCCCTTCTGAATCTGAACAAGTTCTTGAATGTACTGGCAATTGTGTTGCACGAGATCCATGTCCCTTAGCTGTGAGATGGAATCCAACAGGCCTGGTCCCAAGAGGACAGTTATACAACCCACATTGTTGCCGCTTCCACGACACAATGGATGAGCATGGCAGGCTGTTGGGAAGGGAACCGACTGTGTGTTCTTTCTTCCAAGCACTTTTGAATCCAGCCTTGAGGGTTAGAAGAAGGAAGGGGGCATTGACCTGTCAACACTGAATGTAATTTATGCTTTGGGGGCTGGCAGTTCAGCACAAGTTCCTGGGAGAGCCTCTTGTGCAAGCCCCAGGTTTGGGGTTCGAAAAGTAAGGTGGGCGGAAGTGGGGGGAGGGATGTGGAAGTGCCAGAGCTAATATTGGCCCTGTGCAGCTGTTGTAATCTCTTGGATTGTACCTTGTAAGTATGTGACAATGTAAGAAGATGTAATAACAGTGACTTATTATTCCTTCTTGTGATAGCTCTCCAGAGTTGGATTGCAAGTGGGTGGGAATATTTCCGTGGTTTTTTTTTTTTTCCTCTTTACAGCAGCAGCAAATAAGGAAGAGCATTTGGTAGTAAGTAAATATTGGGCCCTTTGGAAATTACTATGCTGGGAAGGAGAAGAGGAGAAGGAAACTGATAGCGACAGAGTTTGTATCAATTGGTCAAATGCAAGCTAGGGACATGATATTCGGGTGATCTCAGAAGCCCTTCTATGTTCCCAGGAGTCCACGAGAAAATGACAATACTCTTAATTCTCTACACTTGATCATCTCCTGCCTCCCTTTAATCCCAACTGCATCAGATCTAGCATTTAAGGTGACAGAAGTAGAAAAACTCGGCAAATAGTTGAGCAGGAAGATTCCTAAGAGCATTTGCTTAACTTATATTGCTTCACCCCTTATTACTTAGCTCCTGTTGGGTGTCTTGCTGTAGCATTATACAGAGGCAACTAAGCACATCTGTGTCCATGAGAACTTCATCCACCTCATATTCAAATGCGTGCGCTGCATGATAAATACTTCTCCTTCTAGCCATTCTCACCTGTTCTTGCTATCGCAATGCCTTCATTTGTGAACTGCTGCATGAATGGTCCATTGCAGGAAAACCTCAATTTAGCAGACGAGAGGGGAAAGGATTGTCCGTTAACTCCAGAATGATGTTATTTCCATCCGTTTACACCATTTGTGTGACACTTGTGTGACAGTTGTCCAGACTGCTTCGGAAATGGGCTATTGTCTTGTTATTTGTGGGTGACACAAAAAGAAAAACGTTATCCATCGCCTCACAAGTCTGCTGAATTGAAGTTTTACTGTATCTTCATTTAAAGTATGATAATTGATGATCTGTAAACTGAGTTGGTAGATAGGAATGTGGTTAAACAAGTAGATTAAGACTTATTTGGGGGGGGGGGAAATGCCACCGAGCAATAATCCATTACAGTTACAAGTGGTTGTTGGCTTCCTCACCCTAACAGACTTCACATTCAGTGGTTTTATTTGCAGCTGCTGCTTAGTGTCAGTCCTGAAATGGCTCCTTCTGTGTCTCCATTAGCCCCTTAAAATAAAAAGAAAAATCCATTCTGATAAAGAAAAACCAGAAGACTCCTCAAAGGAGGAGGTTTAAGGGTTTATTCTTCATTTTAGGAATCCAGTCTGCCAAACTGAAAAAATACAGATTCTAAATGAACATAAATTCCCCCGTCATTGAAAGAGTAAAAAATAAAATTTAAAATTTACTTCAAGTTTAAATAGGTTTCTTTTTCTTCTTCAAGAGACCGTAGCAGATGAGTTAGGACACTTAATTTTTTTTAAAGATGAACTGCTACAGTTGGTATTTGAAAAATGAGGATTATTTCCTACAGACATATCTTTGCCCAATTCCAGTGTTACTTTTTAAATGTATATCCCACACTAATCTTTTTAAGAGGTGGTACTACACAGCAACACTAAGATCAAACTCTTTTTGTGGAAAACCAAATATTCCCCAACCCTACCAAAATCTGCACAATCAAACTCTTCTTGTGCTAATAATAAAGGCCAGCTAAACCACCGTAATCCCAAATTCAAGAGACTTTGGAGATCCAAAGATTAAAAAGTGCTTACTGCTTCTGTAAAAATCTGAAGTCCTTCCATGATGCTCATTCTTAAACGCAAAAAAATCAAGAGACTGTAGATTCAGCAAATGTGAGAATTCTTAATTCAATCATGTGCTCTCTAGAACGCTGTGCACAGAACTATGTAAGTAGTTTTTAGAAGTTATATCAATGAAAAGACAACATATTTATAGGAATCTCACATATAAAGAGTGCAACTTGCTACATTCAGATGTTTCAGTGGATACATATTCTTGCTTTCTCTGACAAGAAGCAAGACAGAAGTTTTAAAGAGTACACAGGAACCGTATTCAAGATTATTTCCCTTTGTACAATTGGACAATAGCTCCCTTATTGGCAGTAACTACGTCAGCAGGTCATTGTTGAAATAGGTTTCACGGTTAGTAGTCCAGCCAAATGTTTTCAGAAACTTGTCCCTTCTTAAATTTTAATGGAAAAACCTGTAAACATGGCAAATCTTATTAAGAAGCAAAGTCAGTCAATGAGAAATAACAAGAAAAGCACAAACTAGCATCTGAAGAGAACGTGGGGACTGGGATTAAACAAATCCTCTTCAAATCAGCATCAAGGCACAGCCCAGCTGTCCATGCAAAATTGTGGAAGGAAGGCTACATGCCCAGCCTTTTCATTTTGCCAAGGGCTAAAACAGCCTCTTCTTTCTCCTCAAAACAAGACACAAAATTCCACTGTAAGTTACACAGTAATGGAAGCCAGTTGGTTAGGATCACCAGGATATGTAGCTGCCCTTCTCTTGAGTTTCATTTTGCAGAGTTGGGGGTTAAGGGCCAGAATGGGCCGCTGTGAAGTTGGCGCCACAGTCAACGTAATTGTAGGTCTCCAAGGAACTTTGAGATATGTGGCCGATGTAGGAGATTTTCACTGAGGTTCTGAAAGGCAGAAATAGAGAGAAAAAGATGAAACCTTTTTTTTTTAATAAACCAAAAAGTAACCGGAGTCCTCACAACGTATATACCTATAGCAAAATATTAAATTGTGGGCCAGAATGTTTGTATTATTCAACATACAAATACAGCAGCTCCACACTGGACAATGCTCAAGCTGCCATCAAAACCCATCCGCAAAGTTCCAGGGCGACACTGTACGTATCAATAAAACTATCTCCATTTAAAGTAAAGGAAGGGAATCTACCACCGCCAGCATCTTTTACCAGTTGCCAGGGAGACCAGAGAGGGTAGGAATTAAAAACCACCAAGATCTAGAGGGGCACAGACTCCTCACCTGGTTTAAATTTCCTGCAACTCCACTCTTCCCCCTTCAGAAGCCCAGAAAATAGTTCAGCAAAATGTAAGTTTGCTAGGCAAGGCAGTTGTCAGGTTTAGAGACTAATCTGGGACCTACTGACATATAAAAGACCCAACAAAACCCTCCCTCTCTGTTCCTAGCAAACCTGGATTGTTCACTAGGTGTTTTTATAAGAAAGCAGTAAGGAAAAGGCATTAAATGTGGGAGGAGAGGACTGTTATTTTTGGAGAGACTTTTTTTAATTATGTGTTAAAGACTAATCCAGAATATACATAACAGTTCAACTGGTTTTTCCAGTTTTGTTTTGTTTTTAATAAAAAGAGCAAGCCATAATAATGCCAGATTTGGCAACTGTGCTATCAAAAATCAGCAGAATTATTAAAGGAGGTTCTGGAGATTGAGAAAAAGTGACTGCCCCCGCCCGAAATACTAAAAGACTAGTTATGGATTTATATTTGGAAATATAAAAAAAAGAAGGAGGATTTAAAAAATACGTAAAAATTACACACCTCATGAAAATCACAATATTGTGCACTCGGATCTTTGATAATGTGCAGAAGAAACTAAAAGAGAGAAAATCACAAAATCTTAAAATATTTAGAGACTTAATGATGCAAGAAATCTTAAAACTATTGTTCTATATCCAGAACGTGGCACAGCTAGTACCTTTTGAATTTAAGCTTGAGCAGATTTTATTGCCAAATCTGTTTTTAGCTTTAGTTAGATTATAGACTATTTTTTATACCTAAGGAGATTTTTGTTAAATCAGTCACAATGTGTTGCGGTATTCAGTTTTCATTTCCAATCATGAAGCTCACTAGCACAAAAACCTTTTTTTAAAAAAAAATAATACATGCAGGATATGACTACAACATTTAGTAGAGATACCATTTAACAGCAGCAGATTGACACAGCAAACATCTTTTTAGGAATACGTTTTCTTTTGGAACAACTAGGAAAATACTCTACACATACTTTTCAGACCATTCATACATTTTTTTTTTTTTTTTAAAAGGTTAGGTTCTTCCAGTGGTTTGAGAAAGCAATGAGAATGATTATGGCTTCTGAAGTATCTAGAAGGTACTCCTGATTTTTTTTATTTGACATGGAAGCATGCAAAGAAAAAGTTTTTTTAAATTTGGCCAAATGAGAATAAGAACAAATGATACTTGGAAATCGAGAACATAAGTGAAAGCTTACACATAAATCATGCCCATCCACTGGCCCTCTAGCCTAGAAGGAGCTGCCATAGTTCTACTGCAGATATAAGATAAGGTAGCTGAAACTTTATTAGGGAACCTAGCAGAGGCAACTATCTCACAGCAAATATTGTATTTCTTCATTACACTTCAAATGCCAAGAACACAAATTACTCACTATACATAAGGTCCACCCATTTCAGCTTTCATGGTGAAATTCACCTGGAGAAACACAAGTTGTGAATTAACTATAAGCCAGCAACAGTAAAGGACTTTGAAGCAAGCACTTGCTTCTTCACAAAGAGGTTGCCATAGTGGATGGTGCCAGTCACAAAAAAAAACACCTCCAAACATCAAGGCACCCATGTCCCCACATGCTCTCAACATTCAATTATCTTCCTCTCTTTAATGGGGGGGGGAGGGGGACAACAAATAAAGTCAGGCATTGCATTTTTTTCAGAATAAATATGGGGTCTATTTTGAGTCAAAATTTTGTATTTTTTTAAAAAAATGTAGGGCTAGTCATCTTACAGCACAATTTTGGGTGGCAACAGATCATTGGCACCTTGGAGATTCCAAGTTTCCCATTTATTGACTTTTCAGTAAAATAATTTAAAAATAAATCTCATACTGCAAGGAGCCCACAGAGGCGTCCATGGGGACACGGATTCTTTTAGGAGCTAAATTGTCTTTCACTAGGGTAAGCAACTCTTGAGTTAGCTAGAGCAGGTGTTCCCAATCCTGGCAACTCTAAGACACATGAACTTCAACTCCCAGAATTCCCCATCACGACTGGCTGGGAAATTCTAGGAGTTGGAAGTCCACGCGTCTTAAAGCTGCCAAGGTTGGGAACCCCCGAGCCACAAGATTATCTATTCTCACCACACCTAGTCCCTCTCTCCATAGATCTTAGTTTCATGTAAAATAATTGCCATACCAGCTGATCACTCAGTGGCTGGATACGAGTAACATTGTTGATTTGTTGGGTCCCAACCACAGTGTTCATGTATTGCACCTGACTGGACAAGCTGGTCACGGCTACCGAATAGAAATTGGAATTCCGGATCCGAAGGGTGGCCTATGGACAGGAGAGAGAAAAGAAAACTGCTGAAAACAGATTTCCAGTTGCCCCCATCATCTAACTTTATTAAGTTAATGGACTGGACCTTACCGTGATGGAAAGAATGACTAGGGAGTTTTTTTCATCAAACCAGACTGTAACCACCTTGATGCCATTGTCATCCACAAGCACTGAATGTGGAAAGAGAAAGAAGACCACCAGCCCTGACGCCAGAAGACAGAGCAGCACTGACACAGAGACGTAGAGTTTCCTGCAGAAGGCAAAGCCAATAAATAGTCTCGGCAATTTGCTGTGCTCAGATCCTGCAGGCAGATCTTGCTACATATTGCAAAAGATTCCGCATTCTACTTAGCTATTATAGAACTGGAAGACATTCTACTTAATATTTAATTCATTAATGCATCTCAACCCTGTATTGTTGTTTACCCTTTCCAAAATTCTGAGTCTGCGTATCAGACATTGTAAGATCTGGAAAATGAGTTTATTGTACAGGGGAATCTACTCAAGCATTCTAGATTAAAATGCATCTTAGTTTTTTCTGGAGGCGCAAATCAAAAACAAACAGGCAACTATGTCAAATGCTTTTTGTTCCTCCAAGGCAATTTGGGACAGGGCCCTGTACAATCTTAAGCAAAAGTTAGATTTCCCATGCCATGATTAAGACCTCAATTTCTCACTTTCACAGTTAATCTCATTGAGTACATAGGAGATAAAACGGAGAAGGAATTTTTAAAATTAAAGATAAGCCTTCTCTATTTTATTTTTTCTATTTCAAACTACTACTCTTAAAGCTGCTTTATTTATTCATACTGATCATTTCCAAATAAGATTTCAGTGAGGAAAATGAAAATTCTAACCCAGAATTCTTCTATTGCTAATTCCAGTTCTCAACAGCCCCAGTCTATGTAACATATAATAAGGGGTACTGAAAACTGTAAGCCAGTAGCATGCAAAGAATCATCAAATCCTCAGTCCTGCTTCAATTAAAGCAGTGTTTCTCAACCTTAGCAAGTAGTCTGAACTTCGACTTCCAAATTTCCCAGCCAGCTTGTTGGCTGGGGAATTCTGGGAGTTGAAGCCTAGACATCTTAAAGTTGCCAGGATTGAGAAACTCTAATCTGAAATATTCTCTTCATGAAATTTCATTCCCAAAAGTGATACTTCCTACTTCAGTCCAGGAAAATGTCTCTCCCCATAGACATGTCAATTGATATTCTTTGTTGTTCAAGGGCATTTCCACATCTCAGACATAAATTATTTCAAATGATAGCTATTCAAAGTAATAATAAACAAGAGGGGGAGAGGGAAGGAGGGAGGGAGGGAGGGAGAGAGAGAGAGAGAATGTTCTAAGCTGCACTGAAAAAAATGACAACATTGCCTCCCATTAATTTACTTGGTTTAATTATAGAGACAGACTGAGGATAGCAAATTATATTGATAGCCTGACCACATTGTTATAATCCAGAAGCACCCAGGCATTTTAGAGACTAAAATGATTTCCAAACATTCTCAAATGACATTGGTGGGGTTGGAAACACAAGTCATTTTTCAGCTGGATATTCATTTGTTTTATGCACAATCAAATTCTATACGTTACACAAGAAAAGGAATTCATTATTCCTATATACTTACGTTCTTTGAGGTTTTAATCTTTGATCATGATATGGAATCAAAGCAACCAGTTCGTTAGCATGCTCTGGAGACAAAAGCAATAATAGCCCTGAGTACCAGCCTCTCTGTGAGAAAGGACCATTTTTAGAGTCTTACTTTAAACACATTGTGAGTGGAAGTGAAAAACACATCATTTTAAAAGTCACATTTTTGTCTTGATATCAAGAAAAGACAACATGTAATAAGCTCTCTGGAGCACTATATATGGTCTTCCAGGGGATTTTTTAATCTAAATAAACAGACAGAAATAGCTTAAGCAATATTTCCATTCATGTGGCAAAAATGAAACAGGTCTCTAAGCCACTGCAATATACTGGTGAAATTTTAAGTCTCAGGCACCAGACAAAAGATATTGCGTGTAATGCCAGCAGCAATGTAAGGTTGACAGGAGTAGATCCAGGCTGGTTTCACTTGTTATGCTAAATTGTTAACCACAATTTACAAGTCCAAAACAGCAGCGTTTCATACCACGAGGACATGTCAAAGTAGGTCTGTCAAAGCTTTTACTTGAGGAGAGACTTGATTTCAGGCACATCAGCTCCAAGGGCATTGGTAATTGTATGTGTGATTGTGTGATTGCGGCAATTAATGGGGGCAGAGGTAGGAGGAGGAAGAGAATCAAGAAGATTTTATTTATTTATTCATATTTATATAGCCGCTTATCTCACAGTCATGTGAGATGGCATACAACAAACTTCTAAATATTATTAATATTGTTAATATTAGAAACTTTAAAATTATAAAAGGTAGGACAAAATTTAAAAGAGGTCAGGTGAAGAGGATGTGTTAATTAACCAGGAGCCATTTCAATATTTTGCCAGTTCCCTGGATGCCTAGGCCTCAGCCAGGCCTTGAAAGTTAAAAATTACATCATCATTCCTTGCATCAGTCATGGAAACAAATGATAAACACCACGCTAAGGATTCATTGCAGAGCAAGCAAGTGGTTCAATACATGCAAATCAAGCTAGATCAAAGAGATGAGCCCAATCACAGAATGGAAAGGAAATTTTAAATAACATCCAATCATTTGACAAGAAAGTTGTTCTTCAAATGTCATCATTACATCTCTAGGTCGAACATGAAACAGCAGGAAACGCTGAAGGTAGGAAGCGAGGAAAGAGTGGAGTGCTAGGATCATGAAATGTTCAAGTCCAAAACAAAACCACTCAACAAAAGCAGGACCCATAAAATTACCTGTGGGAATGCAGCCAGTGCCTTGGCAGGAGGGGCAGGTGATGCTGTCCCGCCCAGTGAATTCCACATACGGAAACTTGGCAATATCGTCTTCTCGATCTTTATTGGTCAACAAATCCTCATCATTCTCTTTCTGCTTCCTGGAGCAATAGTTACTCGTGTCCACTGAGTGGAAAGATCCCATTGCAACTAATGTCAAGGGTAATCCCACATGAACTGTAAGTAGAGCAGAGGGGGAAAATTTACACGGGAATAAGAGTCTTCCACCATTAGCACAAATTCCACATGGACAATACAATCTTAAAAACATATGCCGTCCAATAATCCAAATTCTGAAGAAAAACATCCCAAAAGATCTTCAACCCTGTACACAGGATCTTGCACATTTCTCTTGTTTTTTTGAAGGAGGGGGATTCACAGTGGATAATCTTAGCTAAACAAGAGAACTGATTACCACTGTATGATTATATTAGAAGGGAGGGAGGGAAATATTCAATTTATCCAAGATTAGCCTATTCTATAATCCTATTTAGGAACAAGATAAGCATTAGGCTGGGAAAGGACACCCAATATTTTGAACTACGGTACCCATAACCTCAAGAGAGCATTATTAGAATTAAAATATCTGAGTGAAGATATATTTCTGGAGCCAGAAAAGGCGGCTCTGTAAGGACTGTCAAGCAGTATCAAGTAATTCTGAATAAATATTTTATCACATTATGGAAGTACCCATTTTTTTTTCACATGTAGACCATTTAAAATGTTTGCAAGTTATAAATCAGTGGACTTTGATGTACGTGAAATGATAAAGTCACTGAAGTGAGTCCTTTTATGAACTCATTAGATTTGTCTCCTTGAAGAGTTGAAAGTGTTATTTTCTTGCGAAACCTTCCCCAATATTGGTATATACCGTAGTCCATATAATTAGAGACTGCCAAATTGGGAAATGCTGCTTTTAGACAGGCTGTAGGATATATGGTGGGGAGAGGAGAATGGTACACTTCTGAGTTCTCTTTAATAAATTAGATAATTAGGCAATTTTGGAGGATGGCAGGCACAGCTGAAATTTGAGGAATGTGTCACTGACGCACCCCAAATATTGTTCATGATCAGATACAAAACACTTTCCAGAAAGTGGCCCTCTGCCACTACCTTTGCCCTCAACTTGATCTGTATCATCCAGTTTAATTTCCTATCCATTTTCCTGGGAAAGTAAATTTATTATCAAGCACTATGCTTAATTGCAATCACCACCATTTTCTTTCAAGGGACCCCAAAGCATTCTGGTACTCAAAGGTGAACCTGATGCTTCATTGTCTACCAGATACTCATTTCTATATTTTATTTAAGAATTATTTTGAGGTGGGGGGAAAAATGAAACTTTTAGGTTTTGCTGATTTGTTGTTATAGAAATGGCAAGTATATAAGATTAGATAGAAGTAAAAAAAATTGAGGTTTTATGTTACTTTATTCTACTGCATCAAATGGAATTGGAAGTCGATGTTTTTTTTCCCCCTTACCCCTTTCCCCCTTTTTTCTCTTCTCCTTTTCCTCCCTATTTTCCCATTATTTTCATTTTTGTTTGTACTTCCATTTTTTATTTTTAATAAACTAATAGAATATTTGAATTGGGAAAATTGTTTTCAAAGTTAATCTTTTTTTTTTAAAGTTAAAATTGGATGAGGCAAGATCTTTGATAAATACCAAGGAATGTGGCTGTAAGGTAACCATTGACACCACAATGCCTATTTTTGGATTAAGCTCAGGTTTTAACACTTTTAATAGAAAAATAACAATACCAACATTTTTAGCAAATGTTTTGCATTGTAACTCTCCTTTAACCACATCTTTATAACAGTGTTAAAATAGTGCTAAATTAGTCATTTTTATTTAAAGAAAACTGTGGCACTGAGCCTAAAATATAAATTACAGTACAGTACTGTGCTGCATCCTCACAGCCTTGCAACGGTACAAGGAATATGAAAGCTCATACCAAAGGTGTGACCAAAATAATGCCATCACAATGCAAAGGAAAAATTGGGTGAACAAACAATCTGTGTGTGGAATTCTGCAACTTGGGAGTTGCAACTGAAGAAATGCAGCTGCTGTGGATACAACACAGCTTCTATTACAAAATGAATGAGAAAGAAAAAAACACATGGATCTTTTCTTCACCCAACACCCTCCGCTTTGCCTCCAAACTAAGACAAACAGCAGACTCAGTTCATTCTTCTGCCTGAAAACAATACTTTGACTATAAACTTTTTTCCCCGGTTAAGCCCGCCCAATGCATCATTGTAGGAAAATTTAGGACCACAACTGGCAGCGACTACAGCTATCAATACTTCACAAACAATTAAATGTTCCACCGACCGAAGCAACCAGAGACCGGGCAGAATTCCAATAAGAATTAATTTATTCCTGAATGCTAGGACTGTTCTGTAAAATGCGCTTGGGAATTCAATTACCTCGGCTCTGGTCTCTTCCAGATATATTAGGCTACGACACCTTCATCCTCAGAGTCAAACATCTATTATGATTGCTAATACAGGTAGTCCTTAACTTATGAACACAATTGAGCCCAAAATTTCTGTTGCTAAGTGAAACATCTGTGATGCCTCATTTTATGACCTTTCTTGTTAAGTGAATCACTACAACGATTAAGTTACTAAGTCTGTCTTTCCCATTGACTTCGCTTGTCAAAAGGTTGCAAAAAGTGATCACATGACCCAGAGACATGCAACCATCGTAAACGAGTCAGTTGCCAACCATCTGAATTTTAAACCACATGATTATAGAGATGCTGCAATGGTCATAAGAGTGAAAAATGGTCCTAGGTCACTTTTTTCAGTACCCGTTCTAACTTCGAACGATCACTAAAATGAACTGTTGTAAGTCGAGGACTACCTCTGTAACACTCCACAAGTACGAGTCATAATACTGACTGGAGAATCCCAGCCCGTTCCTGCAAGCACAAGAAGCTACCATCCTAACCTTCCAAGGTTGCTGTGAAAAACTACGGGAACATCTTGATATCCTTGGAAGGAAGCAAGCCTAAGCGCATATAAATAAAAACGAACCCAAGAGTTGCGTTGCAGTCTATGCAAACCGGCTACAAACTGCCTTTAAAGGACGTTAAAGTTGCTGCTGTTGCTGCTGCTACAACCCCCCCCCAGTCCCTCTTTCCCCCCCCCCAGAACTTAACTTCTCGGAGCCCCTCCTTACTGTTAAGTAAAAACACCGACGACCCTCCCCGCCAGTGTTTCACCATTAAACCTTACTCTCCCTCCCGCACCATCCGCCACGCAAACCAACCTGCAGTCGTCGCGCCAAACTCTCACTGCGGAAGGCGCCCTTTAGATGTTGTGGCTACGGCACCTTATTGCGTCACCGTGCGGAACCTTTTCCCCCCGCCCCCTCCCCGCGCGCACCTTTCTCAAAGCAGCAGGACCGACCCTCCGTCCGCACAAAGCAGCGGCACTTGCTCCCGGATGCGCATGCGAAGCGCGGAGGTGTAGGGGCGGGGCAGAGCGTGCTCTTAGGTGTGCGCCGGGCGTCGGAGCTTTCTGTCACGTGACTGCCGCTCGGCTGCGGACGAGACCCTCGGGCCTTGCCCTTTGTTGCTTGTCTTTTGTGTACGGCTAACCCTAAGGTTGTCGATGGCGGCTGCGGTTTGCGCAGTGGGTTAAGCCGCGATTTACAAGCAAAGAGCAAAGATCTTAAAAAGCGCCTTGTGTAAAAACCCAGCTCATCATCACAAGTCGCGGAAGATTGGCTTAGTCGCGGTCTACCGTTTTGGACGAACCTCGGCGTCCGATGCAACTATAATGCTGCAATGTCCAGAATAGGTCTCGGAGCATTTTTTTTATTATTATTTTTGAGGACACGTGTTTTATAACCAGGCTTTCGTTCCGTCCCACGTCTTAGAAATAGAAAATAGAACTGGGTTGGTTTTAATTTTTAAAAGTGGGAAGTTGCCAGTTTGGTCTAGGCCAGTGTTTCTCAACCTTGACAATTTTAAGGCATGTGGACTTCAACTCCCAGAATTCCACAGCCAGCAATGCTGGCTGTGGAATTCTGGGAGTTGAAGTCCACATGCCTTAAAATTGTCAAGGTTGAGAAACACTGGTCTAGGCGGGGTTAAGAAGGCTCCAGATTAGAAAGCGTTAGGAGACCTTGGTTTCCTTGGGCATGAAAACCAGCTGGGTGACTTTAGACCACTCATTCTCTCTGCCCAAACATAACTAATCCTCTTTTCCCCACAACAACTCTTGTGAGGTGGTCACAAGAGTTGTTGTGGGGAAAAGAGGATTAGTTATGTTTGCCATTTTGAGGTATTTATATAAAAAAAAAGTAATAAAGATGGGATGTAAACAAATACCACGCTGAAGGGCTCCATTCTGAATCTCATGACTTTTAGGAGAAAGGAAATTGATAAAAACACTCTGGGGGTGTCGGCTTGCCAGAAATAAATACATTTTAGAAATTTTATATAGGAGAAAACAATTGAGAGCTGCCATGTTTGCATCCTGGTAAACTAGAATCTGAATGTGGGGCCGCACAGAAATAGGATTTGCATTTTGACTTCTGCCTTTTACTGTTTGTTTTGTAACACAGGGTCTTATTATTTTCTGTTACAACCACAGAACTTGAACGTCGCCCTGGTGAAAATCATTTTGAGAATAGACAAACCACACAGTAACTGTTTTAACAAATTTAACCATAACATCTCAGAATTTAAAATATGCCTAGCAGTCTTAAAAGAATGGGGACCACTATTTTAACATGTGTGACTACAGTTTTTATCAAGCATGTAATGGCACTGATCTGCTGCAGCTGTTCCATGGCCTCCCCAGCTGTTCCAAGCATTTTATTTGTTGCTTGTATGAGATTCAGCATTAATTTAACCTTTTGTTTGCACGTGACAATATTTTGGGTTTATATGAAGGATGAATCATACATTTAATTTTATTGACTAGCTATGTATGAAAAAAAAGGACTTAACCTGATACTTTTACTACTGTTGCAGCTTCTCCACAGTCACGTGATCAGAATTGGGGTGCTTGGCAACTGGCATTTACAACTGTTGCAGTGTACCAGAGTCATGTGATTATCATTTGTGACCTTCCCAACTGGCTTTCCACAAGAAAAGTTAAGGGGGGAAGCTGGATTTGCTTAATGACCACATGATTTGTTTAGCAACTATAGTGGCTTGCTTAACCACTGCTGCAAAAAGTCTGTAAAATCAGATGTGTCTCACTAAAGAATCACCTTGTTTAGCAATTGAAATTCTGATCCCAATTGTGGTTATAAGTAAAAAGCTGCCTGTACTAAAATGATGTTGATTGGTTTATGGCTCATCATGTGTATGTGAAACAGTCACCTTGCTTTCCCTGATTCTAACTAAAATCTAAAACCTGCATCTTTCCTGGCGTTTATTTCCTAAGCCAAGGGAGATTTGCTAGCAAATCAGTAATGCAGGAATAATTTTATAAATATATTCCCATCCTGCCAGACTTCTTTCTAGCCCTGATTCAAAAGACAAAAATATGAGAAGAGAACGACACTATAATATAAACAAAATATATTACAAACAATATTTATTTATTTCTCTTCTGTAGGATTTGGCAAATTTAGCACATTTTGAAAGGATTAATTTTATATGCTAATGTCAAATTTAGCAAGTGTTCACTTACCTGATAAATTCTAATCCAGTGAAT